TAGGACCTAGAATATGATTATTTATTCACTTATTTATTTAAGCAGTTGAAAAAAAGTCTTAAAAGAATCATCAAACGCTTACCCTTTTACTGCCTCTAACCTTTTACTCGCGAGTTTCGCAGCTGATCAAAATCACCATGGATTTCGCGAAATCCATGACTTCAGCTTGAATCTGGGACCTTGGTTCGGCTCCAACTGCTGGTGGGTTGACTGAGTGTGCATTCAAATGTTTCAGCGATTTCGAATGATAGTCTTAAGCACGGCGCATTCCAAAAAATAAGGACGGCACTTCATTTTCTTGTTCTCTTCTTTAAATGGACGTCTAATTTTTTCTTTTCTTTAACACGACAACTAGTTCAAATAAGGAAGCATCCCCACTGCCTCTGTGGAAACATATCCACTGTCCTGAACCCCTTCCCATCCCCATCCCTCCTTTCCGTTGTCGTTGTTGGGATGGATTTCGTCAGTCGGTGGTGTAGCTGTCTGGGTACTTGTGCTTGTGCCTGTGCTCTGCTGTCGTTGCAGCAGTGTAGGCAACGGAGGGTGCCAGTGTTGGAAAAGCGCAAAGCGGCATCGCAGCGACGACTCAAATGAGACGGGCTTTCCACGGAGTTGATCGGAGACCTAACAGCAGCAGCAGCAACAGCAGCAGCAGTGGAGGTGGATGAGGGCAGCGGATAGAAAGGAAGCGATGAAGGCGGCGGCGGTGGCGGCGGCAGTGCTCGCGGACGAACGAACAACTGTTCCACCAAGCCAAAACTCTTCTCCCTCTCTCACTGCCAACTCTCGTCACATTATCGACTACTCCATTAACAACTACCTATACCCTGATTTACTATTATCCGCCTAGTTGTCACGGTAGTTTTGAGTGATGATGGCAGTTCTGCGACTTTGGATATTTCGTTTTGGACTGATTTTTTTCTGAGCAACTCCAGTTTTTTCTACAAAAATCTCATTGTATCGTGTTGTATATCTTAGTATTAATAATCTCTACAGTACCCCTTCGGTTGTACCTCGTGATTAATACGGTAGTCACTCACCCAAAGGCTGCAGGGTTCAAGGACCAAATCACCTGGGCATCACCTTGCTGGAACGAACAGATTGAAAAGTCATTGTTTTCCCCCGTGGCTACGAGCCCAGGATAAAAAAAGTGGTCCGAATGGATGACAGCAATCTGGTTGACCAGGAGATCTTTTGACTGAAATCTGATCTGACGACCTTGAGTTTAGCAGCGGCGCCCTTTGACACTTCTCCACACTTGCCTCTTAATCGGCACGTGGTCTCTTTATGACATACTTCTCAATGATTTCTTTCCTCTGTAATCGTTTTTGTAATAGAACGGGGAAAGACTTGTGTCCAATGGAACCAGGTAGGGGCAGTGACAAAGACGTCGCTACCACAGACATGGTCCAAGGTTCAAATCCTTCCAAGCCTGAAAACTAGTGCGTTGCCTACCGACACCTTCCTTAAGAATCGCTCTACGAGAACCTATCTCCGCTTCAATTTCGAATTAAAATGCTGGATGGCACGAGTGCGAGTTCGAGTCCTGTCTGAGGCCGAGGTTTTGCCCAAAACTCGTCAACCTTGTGAGATTGTGTGGGAATCGTCAATGTGATTAATCTCAAGGAAATCGATCCTTTTTATCCTGTCGTCTGCTTTTTTCTGGGCCACATAGCACATGCGAAAGCGAAGGTGGTGTAGGGCCACGTGGCACTCCATCACACGCATAATCTGGGGAACAAACCCAAATCGACTCCCAATCAGTCAACCAGGCCTTGCATCCTGTAGAGTTGATACTTTGTCTTGTAGGCTTTTGCAGACAACTGAATATACCGAACGCATTCGAGCCCTATTGAATTCCTGGATAGGGTTTTATTGTGTGGGTGGATCCCAAAATGGGCTGGTCTTCCTCAGGAAGTCTTGATTTTTAAAATATTTAGATCTTAATTTTATACGCAGTCGGCAAGTTATGTAGCATTTTGCACTCGAAAACTGTACGCCATGATTGGGTGATCCATTCAATGACGTTCAATCGATTGATTATTGATCTGTTGTACAATCAATCAAGCAATCGTATTTTTTGCTTGATTTTTGAGCAGAAAGATGCGGTATACATCAAGCCTTCCCAGGAGGGAACTGAATTCTCTGCCCTTTCGGGATGTACCTATGGGAGCCGCTATTGTGTTGAAGGGTGCACTGCCTATTTCGATACCTACCTGAACAGTAGGTTAATTCAAGACCAGATTAAACTGATTCCGACAGAAATCGAATGCATGGCGTATCTCAACTAGATCATTGCTCGAAGCATTCCGTAGAAAAAGTCGGTTTTGAAACACGTAGTAGAAAATATTAAGGGTAGGAATACAGGTTTGGATCGATATCCCTCCACGACAACCAAGCCTTCCTTTTTTCCGGGGTCGGTTGTCCTGTACTGGGATCGTCTGGGAGTGAAATCATCGACAAAGCAACGAGCACAGAAGACATCGGTGTATAGCCCCATACGCTTTCGAACGCTGCTACAATCCTGAATAGAGTTTAGATGCCAGGACGCACTCCAAAATCAGCTGCAGACTTTGTTCTTTACCCTTGTTTGTTTTTCGCGTCTGTTTTTCGGTTTGTCTAAGCACCTCAACCTTTGAAGCTGTTAGTGGCCAAACAAAATAAAGTTTTCAATTGATTTATTTTTATTTCGCTGACGTCAGCGCACCTTGTGTACGCGTGATAAATAAATGGGGAAATTCTGTACATCAATCGGTGTGTGTGCCCGCTAAGGATTCATGCTCTGCTCCTGAGAACCCTCTCAGTAAATAGTGACTGGTTCAGCCATGTCTTTTAATTGGTGCATAATAATTCAGCCATTCAGTCATGCAGTGCTGTGATAACGTGAGAATCAACCCCTGTCAGGGATCTGTTCATTAGTCCTTGACGAAAAACTGGTGAGATGAGATGGCATTCGGCACGTACATCCCCTTCCCTTTCCCCCTCCCTAGGGAGGTGAGGGTGGTGTGGCGGTGGAGTGGCAACATCTGTTGGTTTCAGGTGACAAGACAGCCATCCACCCTCAACGGATCTGACCAAAAATCGTTTTGCCCCTGAACCTTCCATTTGGTCAAGGTACCCTTTAACTACAGAAATAATAAGGTCCACAACGAAACTGAAGCAGCTTTAGAAAGCCCATACCCAGTTTTTTAATATCGCAATGTCATGATTTCGGTTCTACACAAGTTTCCCATACAATTAATTTTTGAAGTTAACTTGTAGGAAGTATGCTTTTCTTCCTACCCTTAATCCCTCGCAGTCGTAGGGTCTGCAGTTATTGTTAACTGTCGCCAATTGCCTCAATCTGCAGCTTCTTCTGTTGTTAACCTGGCTTGGGAAAGGTTCATTTCCCTTGAACTTCCACTTCCATCGCTTCTCTAAAAGAACGATCTCGTGTTATTCACTTTGGCATGTACATCGGCTAAGCCGGTTTTGGGAGCCCCTATTGCGCCCTATCTTGACTGTTTTTTGACCCGATAACGTCGCTTAGGCTATCCTAAGGCGTCACGGGTTCATCTTTGGGAGAAATCTCAGAAACCATTTTCAACGTGAACTGTCCCCTCGATACCTGCTATACCTTGCCAATCACCAAAGTACTTGTAATACCATAAGGTAGACCGGAACCATTTTCCAAGGCTGAGTGATGTCTTTCCAAAAAAGTTGAACTGAAAGGCCTCAAAAATGAAGGTGAAGAGCTATATAAGCACGAGTGGAGACATGAGTGGTTCGATTTCGCAGAAAAGTTTCAGGATCGAAAATCTTGTAGTCTCCCTTGAAGGGGCACCAGAGCTGGAAATGCAGTTCAGAGCCACCTACCATTTTATCAGACCAATCCTCCAATGGTTCGGGTGTAATTGTTGGTTTTGAAAAAAAAACCCTTCAGCACAAATAAATTTCGCGTTATTCGAAGTATTTTTCGTTAGGGAAAGGAACGCTCTGTTGGCAAGTATGCTCCCACAGCTCATGATTTTAAAGGGTCTATCTGAACCTTGTTGAATAGCTATAGCAGATTCATAAAGAGATGGCCTCGCTTTCAGCACTGCCATCTGCTTGGTCGCCAAATTAAGAGGAGAGAGGGTTTCAGTAGAGATTAGGACAGAAAGTGGTCCCCGATAGCGTTTGAGTTGAACATGCTTCAAGACCAGGTAAAAGCGGATTCACATCGAACCGCTCGTGAGCTGTCGACCAGTATTGACGCCAATCAGTCCGCCAAGGTTCTTGATTTGAAATCATACGGTAGGGTTCAAAAATCTGACCGATGGATTCTTCACACGTTGGCAGACGTCGACCTCGACAGGAACTATAGCCTGGCATTTTATGAAGTCATTGGAGAAGAACGAACGACAACGATTGCTGGTCAACTATGGAAGCTTAAGAATAATCTGACGGACACCTGCGGACAGCGGCCCAAGATTGAAAAAGAATGATTACAAGAATTATATGAAAGAACACGGACACTAGGGGGTAACCGAGTGTGCGTCCTCAATGTCCACCTGCACTCGTGGAGGGCGAGTAGGTGAAGTCAAGCGTAAAATGGCAAGAACAGCGATCGAAACTTTTGTCGTTCTTGCTCAGTGAAGTGACAGACCTCTTCAATTGCGCTGAACATTTGAAGATGCGAGTTGGTTGCACCCCACCCCGATAGCATCCTATACGTTTAGTTCAAGAAGGAAGGCTAACTGGTGTCAAGATACCTAAAAGTTGGGAGATGGGCTTTAACAGGGAGGGACCTACTCGCAGACCTGCAGTCAGATTGGTCCTGCAGATGATTCATTGAGAAAAAGCTTCGCCCGGTTAGGGTATAGGCACCAGCACCACTTAGCAAGGGCGCAATAAGGACCGAAAGGTTGATGGTCCGTTCCCATGTCAAGTTCTAGGGAGTTTTCGAGTTTTGAGCCTTCAATGTGCCAGTTGCTGACCTGTGGGGACCACAAGCATCTCCCTCCCAGAAACCAAGATTTCTTGCTGATGCATTTTTCCAGTGCCCTGTAACCAGTATAGGGATATTGTTCAGAGTTCCCCCAGTTTCTCAGGTCACCTTCGGCCATTGCCTGACGTCGCCCTAGACAAATGGGCAAGGTTGTTTTGATGTGGCGCTGGGGGATCTAAGTCATTTGAGCATCTCAAGGGGATTTCCGAGACGTCGTTTAAGTCCCGGCCAAAATGACCAGTGACCATTGCTAGCGTTCGTCTCATGTTCGACAACATTTCCATGGTTCCCCGGAAATCCTTCGAAAATCTCCCAGTAATCATCCCTAACGCAGTTTTCGTGCACCCCAAATGCACTAACCGAGCGATGGCAATAGGAGAAACTGCTTGAAATTCAATTATCTCTGCTACCCCAGCGACCTTCGGACCAACTTGGCCTGTTTAGTCCTCTGTTCATCATTCTCGAGGTGAATAATT